CATCACGACCAATCAAGAGTGTACGCAAATTGCAAGTTTTTAGAGATATCAAAGAAATGATTGAATAAATAATTATGATCATGTACATGTTCTCGATAAAGGTATTTTCGTTATTAAAAAAAAAATCTCATCTGAGATGACGTTGTAAGAGATTTAAACAAAAAATGTTTACAATAAGCTAATTCATCCTAGGTCAGAAAACATTTCTTAGATATTGAGCATCTTCTATAAAACAAAGTCATGGTGGAAATATAAATTGTGCAAAACACCGGTGGCGAATATGGCACGAGCATGTTGTAAACTTAAGGGATTACTTTTGTTAATGGCTTCTTTTGCCACATTTAAAATAAATTTCATTCTAAATTTGTCGTCTCATCTCATGTTACACATTTACATTTTTTTTCTCAATCACACTCTTCCTTTGCCACTGCGTCTCTATAATCATAATTCCCCCGGCATCTTTTCTCGGTTCCTCCTTTATCCCTGCCCGTCTCTCTTCTCACCTTCTCTCCCCGATTTCCGCCTGGTATCTTGTGCCTTCGATCAACATGTTCCACCTCTTTTTCTCTCCATGTCTAAAGCCTCGATTAACCCCACTCACTACTCTCCTTAACCAGTCGACCACACCATCCATAGACAAATCAAGAAGGGTAAGGGGGATAGAATTGGATAATACTCCAAATTAGGCGAATCTTGTCTTCCCGGGGAAACCAGAGAAGTCAATATTCTCACAATGAATGGGTCCCGAGGGATATCCTCCACACCACTTAGAAGCTCCCTAGAGACAAGGACGGTCTCAGTCATATCCATAGTGCCTCCGTGTCTCCTTACAATGATGAGCTGGAATTCCGCAGGTATTATAATCACGATCATACGACACCTGTTATTCGGTGTTGACTTTTAGGCGTTTTAAATGGAGCTGTGTTCTTTCTCATGAATGAAGAATTCTATATGGATTTTTCGACAATGCGAGATCTGGGATAAGTGAATACAAGTCGGAATGCATCTTTTCTTCCTTGAATATTAAATAAAATTTGATACCATTTCAACCTAAATCAAAGAATATTTGAGTTTACCACCACTCATCAATAACTGTTTTAACGATTTTTTTAAACGTCATTTAAATCACTGACATCATTATCGTAGTTATAATTATAATGATGATGATGATTATTATTATCTCTATTATCAATATTATCATCATCATGATCATCATTATTACTATCATTATTATATTAATTATCATAATAATCTCAAACTTCAGCCTTCAGTATTCTTATTTTTTACTAATCTGTCAGAAAAAAGTTACACAAATGCATCTTAGATACACCCATGTACTCACGAAACGCACACACATTTGCGCCTATACACCCCCTAATTCAGCTTTGTTTCATCATTCTCTCTAATATGTACACTCATTGTCTTTCATTTGTCGAGAGTTACCAATTTTTCTATTTTATTATTACCTTTAGATTACATCACGTAATAAAAGGCAGCAGTAAAATAAAGTATACACACAGCCAAATAAGTATCTGCTATATTCCGTAATATTTATTTCAATATTTTATCTTGTTTAATTTGTGTGTTCATTATAACTTATGTATGTTTATAGGATTTGTAAAAATGTTTTTGATTATGTTGATACAGGGCCCCTTGGTCGAGCAGTTTTTATAACTGAAAGGGCTACCCTGTCACAATAAAATATTTAAAAAATAAAAAAAAGCATTTTTAAGAATGCGATTCCCTAACGAAACGCATACACATTTGCGCCTATACACCCCTAATTCAGCTTTGTTTCATCATTCTCTCTAATATGTACACTCATTGTCTTTCATTTGTCGAGAGTTACCAATTCTTGTGTTATATTATTACCTTTAGATTACATCACGTAATAAAAGGCAGCAGTAAAATAAAGTATACACACAGCAAAATAAGTATCTGCTATATTCCGTAATAAGCATTTTTAAGAATGCGATTTCCTAGCTCAGGCATGGTATTACGGATACAGGTTGTTCTTGCATAATTACAAGACACATGAGACTCATTTGCAAAAAATGGAAGGCTATACGAACAAGGCAGTATTTACAGATGAAGACAACTACAAAGGGTAACCTTGCTCGAAACTACTACCTTGAAATACGTCATAATTTGAGACCTCAATATTTCTTCTTTAGAAAAATTGCATGCATCTAGTAGTATACAATTCCGTAAATGGAGTTCTACTTCTCTGAATAGTACGCATAATGTGTTTTATTCTTTGATACACGATTCTAAAAACAGGCATTTGCTCTGAGCCAGCAGTTTATCAAAATACGAAGTTTTCTTGTCAATTGTTTTCATTTTACGTTGAAAATCGACGGATAAGCTAGGCCACTCCAGAATAAAATAACCACGCAAATAACCACGCAATAAGCGACTACTGCTACTTCGACTACTACTACTACTACTACTACTACCCCTACTAATACTTTTACTTCTACTACTACTACTTGTAGTAATAACAATTAATATTGTCAATATTTTTTTTGTTCCTCTGGATAATATTGCTTTGTTGAAATATAAATTTTATGATTATTAATGCTGTTGTATATACGTTTTTTGCTTTAAGTTTAGATAATGGTTAACTATAAATCATTGTAAAAAATATTTGTAAGGTCAGCAACGATCCCTCTCTCAGGGACATGGGATTAATACATTGTCATATATCGGCTTGACCGACATTATAATGAGTATAATTTATAAATAAGTATGATTTATAAGATTTCACCTTAGAGAACGGAAGGCATCGAGGTTGAAAGCGCGTGGGACTATTTTGTTTTGCTAATCTTTAATGAGTATTTCTACCATTATTTACCGGCACTCGAATTACTGAACCAGAACTATGCCGACATGTAATTTATTTAAGGCCGATAGTTGTTACAGCTATTGTGGAATATTTTAGACTGTTACTTTAGAGGAAAAAATATATTACGGTAAAAAGTGTGGGGGAGGGAAACCTCCACTAACATGATTAGCTAGGCTTCGTCGTATGTTTTTATGTTCCTCTTAATAAGATTATCATAAGGTGATATTTTATTACAGATTTTGATAATTTACAATTAAAAAAAAGCTTTGCAATAAGATAACACGAGTAGGTACTAACTTGCGATTTTATAGAATATTTACTTGGAGGTGTAGCATGATCTAAACGATTTACATATTATAATCAACCAAAGGCAGTTCAATAGCCTTGTATATCACCTATTTAAAGGTGCGAATATAACGACATAATTTCTGTGGGCTAAACAAATTATGATAATGAAATTGACCTTAATTTGATTTTTAAAAGTCTATCTGATCGTGTTGTTTGCTATCTGCAATATTATAAAAGTCCACACTTTGAGGAAAACAAAAATATTTGTCTTAAGGGAGGTGGCAATGTCGAAAGTGACAAGAAAGTAAGTATACATAAAACTACGGAATTATGTGAAAATGGGCGTAAATATGCACACTTTTATTATCTGAATCACAAAAAATATATTCACTTCTTTAACATATATGCGCTATACAATTTGTAAGTGATTGCATCTAATTTGTAATATCTTGGAGATATTTCAAAATTCAGCAAATAGAAGCCGATCTGTTATTACATATTCTTTAATCCTATAAGATTACTATCCATCTTCTTAATACTGAGAACAAATAATACATTTTAACAAATTTGTTTCCTGTGGGAAATGAAATAATATCAGATAAAACTAACAAATTACGTCGGAATCACCGCAACCTATTTCACCGAATTCATTTTGTTCTTCAGCTAAACAAAACTAAAAATGAAATTTAAAAAATAAAAAAAAGGAGGGAGATTAATAGACGCCATCATTTCGTCAACATCTCCTACAAAATGTGATAGATTATTTAAAGCATCTGTCCAAATAAATCACAGGCGCAATTATTGCCGTTACAGTTTGGAAGAAGAATTAGTCTCCGAACAATCATTAGGCTAGCAATGCCAGCAATGAAGGTGACAAGAGGCAATTATAGAAATGTTATTGATGTATACCTTCACAGAAAGTTCGCTTTGGGAAAAAACGCTCATAAATTATTGAGGTGGATATTTTTCCATGAATTGAAGTGATGATGTATGTCAAGAGCAGTAAGATTGATATACATAGTAGTTACAAGTGTACTTATATATTGTTATTAGCTAAGTGGTTTAAAAAGAAAATGCAAACAAAACTGATGATAGTACGAAGGCATTTATATGCATCTCTCAGCAGGGGAGACTTTTATGAAGAAACCATAAAATTGAATAAAAAAATGACTTTTCTTTGATGATATAACAGCTTTGCCTAGTTTTTATCTCAGCTTTGAAATGAAATCAAGACAAAATGCAGTCCTCCTGATCAGAAGTAAATTTTGCATGAACACGATTACAAAGAATGTCTAAAAATTCATCCCAAGTCAATTTCAATAGCCCTATCTATCATCTTTTGAAATGTGCAAACATTACGATGAAGTATTACGTAATCTGAACATGATTTCTACGGGATATACAAAAGGATATTAAAGTTGCCCTTGAGATGAAATTTGGAAAGTCTTTGCGATTTTGTTCACATAGGATTTCCTCCTTTTTTTACTGATAGAAAATAAAGCAACCACGCTTTCTTTATAATTTGATATTCCAATTCACTGCAACTACCTGTTTTATATGACTTTAAGAAAAACAACATTTCATTACAAACATTAATGACAGAAAGGAAAAATAAATTGAACAAATTGTGAAAACATTTTACACCATCACGCTTGTAGGAGAAAATCTGTTTTGTCTTTATTTTTCGGCACAGTTGACTTTTCCTGAAGTAAAGTAATATTTGAATAAATGGAATCTAAAATCATCCTGAAATAGTTTCACGACCTGCCACCGCATGGTCGTTAATATGGTACGATTATATATATATATTAACAAAAAGAAATGCCTTTGAAGAGCGTGAAAAGAACAAATAGCGAACAAGACTCACCTTAAAAGTGTGTATGCGATAGACAGGCGACGGGTGGCGGTTTGCAGTTTTGCTCGACTATTATATTACTGTTGTTCGTCTTGCTTTTCCACTACACTGCATAAAAAGAGAAGGTCGGTCTATTGTTTAGATGTCCTCCAAATACTCTGTCTTTTATCCCTAAATGGCTAATCTCGATGTTGTTCGTTGCTTCCTTTCTCACTCACTGCCTCCTTGCCCGTAAACTCGACCATTTTATACACTCATTCAGGCAACCTGTCATGGTTGAGGAGTTGCCATGGTTACCCGCCGACAGACTTCCCGAGTCACTTTTTCTTCTCAATCGCCTACCACTTTCCAGACGAGGCACGGAAGTTTTTACTGCAAAGACAACACTGTCACCCTCAAAATAATCATATTCTGGTCATGAAAGAATGTTCGAGGCATGCAGCTATGTGTTGTGATGCTAAATGACTTTATTCTTTAAGTTGATCTTAATTAGCAAATCTGAAGAGACCTGTATTTGATCAACACTGTATTGTGTAACCTCAACTGTTTCCGCCTATTACGCACAAGCCACGCCCACCTTCTCTATGATTGGTCAATGCATCTTTACGACATGGCTCTCACAAAGTATAGTTGGTAGCATGGTAGTTCAGTTCTCGCATGATGGATGCTTTGTAGTACGAGTATTTACGGATGTCTACAAAAAATGCTTTACACCCTCTTTTGAAACGTCACACTACGTCATAATGTCGTCATAAGACCCTTAGTTTGACTGAAAAAGGAAACTAGTCAACAATTTCCCACTATAGGCAATTACTGAAAGAAATTATCCGCTTTTAACTATTGTGACATTTAATATCTTAGTAATCTCCACTGAAAATAAAATTTAAAATGTTATGAATAAATAGAAATATTCATTAATTTCATTAAAATGCATTCATATTTTATTTAATTTTTATTGATTTATTTTTATTTTATAGATTTGCTGATATTTATTGTAGGCCTATTCCTTAATTTTCTATTTGTTTATTTCTATTCATTTTGCAAATATTGATTGATAGATCGTGTTGGCAGTAGACTTAAGGTATTATTCAACATTGGTAAAGTCAAATGGTTATATAATAATATCTTCTCCATTCAAAAATAATGATCTACTGTTAACCATAAGGGTATTACCATAACTTCATTGATTACAGGGTTAGCTCCTTTTTGAAGCAGTCAGCCTCTGTGATGGATCTCACTACTCTCTCAACTTTATGTCTAATATAGGCCACACAGGATTATTTGGATACGACGACGACTATAAAAAAAAACACAACACAACACAAAACAAAACAAAACCCCAAAATAAACATTTAAACAGAACAGTAGATGTGCTGAGCGCGCACAAAGACCTACTAGGGGTATGGTCTAAATTGTACGTTGCATGCCACGCTTTGAATTTCAAAATGCATGCATGCTCAATAAAAGAGTACTTTTGTATATCGTTAAGTACATTCCTATCATAACCCTTACGAGAATAACAGATACTACGTGGTATAACATGTATGATTTAGCATGTATGCACCAACAACAACAAAATAGAAAAATAGAAAATGAAAAGCGGTGGACAAACACACACACACACCCACACACACCCACACGCCCACACACCGCCCACACGCCACACACCCACACACCCACAACCCACACAAAATGTAATACGATAACAAAACAAAAAAAGGGAATAATGTTACATTGGCCATTCATCTTTGAGAAGCGGTATTAATCGAGTGCTAAGTTCTGTTAGAAATTAAAGTAAATTGTTTGTTTGTAAGAGTCTTTATTTGTATTCATGTGAAAGAATATCATTGGATGAGACTGTCATGAACGGATTGCTCTCAAAATGTATTCATATTTCAAATGACTAATATAGTTTTCTAACATTGGATCAAGTATTGATGCCACATGTCTGTACAGTCCCTTAAACCATTCTCCGTGTACAGCGCGTGTCGTTGTGTCTGGTTTCCCGTGCAACTTAGTCAGTTCATTCAATTTGCTAAATCCCAAACCTCAACACACTAGTAACCCCGCTGACGCAAAATATGATATTAATTCACTCTGAAGTCTCGGCGGTTTCTTTCATAAAATGTGGTGACCAGTAATCGACATTAAGAAGTGTTAAAAATGCCCAGTTGAGGTGAGAGTATCAGATAAAGCTTGGCTTTTGTTTTATGGCAGCAATGGCGAACCAGACCAACATGCCAATCAAATTTTAAGCGATGCCTTTTAATGAGGTGTGCTAATCGAAGTTTTCCCGCAGGTTCAACCGTACACTACTCACAAGCCAATTATACCTTTATAAAATCTTTTGTTTTTCCTAAGGGAATTCAAAATGCCGGTCGTACCTTACGAGTATAATCCTGTTGCACGTAACCCATAGAAATGACAATAACTTGATGTAAAACAGAAAGTAGGCCTCTTACTAGACTTTTTCAATAAAGGAAATAAAGAGGTTTATTATACTTAGATTATATAGCCAAGATATAGTCATAAATTGCTATTATATCTAAGAGATGAGCAGAAACAAATATTGTCCTTTTATTCGCTATTATTTTGATTACGTCTTTATTTTGTGAGTGTATTTCATATATTACATCGAAGGTGAAAGTATCATTAGCTGTTTGTTTTTATTTTTCATCAGTAATGCTACGAACAGTGTATATTTTCTCATAGCCCTCGTAATACTGGAAATTTCCTTCACGTAATTTAATTCAGTTTAACCCAAACCTGGTTCTAAGATCACATTTAGCAAAGAGTAACTTATACCTCAGACTATAAATTCATTCGTTAAAACCAGATTGTGAACAAAAGCTTCGAAAACAGGCCTTAGTGCTTAAAGTGGTTTAGTATGGTTATTGATTTTCTACCTACTTGTACCTTATTTTCATAAATGAAATTGTATGTTCTATTCAAAATGGTTGCAAGAAACTTACACACAAATTATTCAATTTTTATTTAAAATGGAATTTACATGTTAATGAGTTAGTCAAAAGGTGCAATACAACACTATACATGTTGAGATAACATAAGAAACTCAATTTACCTTTGAAAGATTTAGTTACAATTTACGCAGGTTATATACAACCACCTTTTTAATATTGTGTTCCAGCGTTCCATAGCAGTCTTACAGTAGAACAAAACAATAATCTTGAAAGAAACAAAATGTAGAGTATGTAAAATTATTTTAGGGCCTAGTCACATTACCTATTCTAATGCATGTCAAGCATGCAATTTACCAACTCTTGAGGAGAGGAGACTAGCACTTTGTAGAAAAATTCGCAAAATCATTTTCAAATCACTCCATTTGTCAGACCTGGTTACTCAGAAAAATCACACTAATATATCCATTCGTAATATTCCCAGTTATCAGCAATTTCAGTTTAAAACAAAAAGGTTTAAAAATAGCCCACTGTCATTTATGGTTGATAAACTCAACAAAAGTTGAAAAAAGTTGTTTGTATTACTTTTATCGTTATTGTAGGTATACTGAGTGCTTATCTCCCCTCCCCCCCCCAAGTCGGCTGTTTTAAATGTGCATATTTTAATCCTTTTACCATGCTTGTATGGACTTTTATGACAAAACAGGAAATTTGTAAACAATGTGTTTATGGATTTAGTAACAGAATCTAAGTCCTATTATTTATATTGCTAGTTTTTAACATGTATATCTTTAAAAGTGTTATCTACACTGCCTAACATGTAAACATGATCATTCCAACCATGGCTGTCTTTCATATAAAATGTATTTTTATGAACCATGCTTGTGCTATAATAATTAACATTTTGAATTGAATTAAAACCGCTAAATCAAATCAAATCAAAAATTAAATCAAATATTTAGCGGTATATAACAATATTGATGCCGGTAAGGTGTGACTGGAGCTTTAAATTATCACCAAATTGTCATCCATGCTGTCTTTCTCTCTATTTTCCCTCACACGCCTCTTTCCTGTGTCGTCGCTATTCATCATAAGTGATGCATTCAAGACGCTATTCTTGAGTGTTGTATTCAGGTTGTCCAAATTTCCTGCTTCGTTCCATTTTAGTAATTAAGGGACAAACTGAAAGGCACGAGTTCCGGGCAATTTTCTTCCCTCTACCTCCCTCCTATAACTTTGCAGCAAATATTCATGATGATTTTTCATCAAACAAATTGGGCTCGACAATCAAGATTCATATTCGTTACAATCAACGTCATGTCATACTCTTGAGTTGGGATTTATATTGCGATTACAACTTCTTTTTATTTCTTTTTATCAAAAGATTAAAGGCAGCTATCTTAAAATCAGTGGGTGGCAGGTATCGGGTTTGAAGTTACCCCCATCAGACATCTAAGTAAGCAGGTAGGCGCTTGTTGATAAGTTAGAAGTGAACTAACGGCTTAATTTTTTCCCCCAAAGAACTTTTAACTATAGGGATTTATGTATTACCAAAGACAAGGCAGTAGCTCATCGATTTGGTTTCAAACCCGGACCCCCACACCACGCCCCCCCCCCCCCGTTTCTGAGGTCACCAACCCGCATTCACAGTTGGTTGTTAACCTGGAGTCAACTCGGATAATGATGGCCCAGCATCGTCCAGTCCACATATGAAATTTAAACCGAGGGATAATATCCCGGGCCCCTGTCACTCAAAATTTAATTTCGACTAACCTGAGTCAGGCGCGGGCTTTACCCGGACATCACACTATAGAGCGACCCAATACCTTCATCACTTTTGTCATTAGTTTTCCGCATTGTGTCTTTGTTTAATAGACAATTAAAGAGTAACGCTTCTAAGACATAAAACATGAATATATAACAAACCACTCATGTTAATTAATTACCCATCTAGTCATCTCATTTACCCAATACCTTCATCACTCTTGTCATTAGTTTTCCGCATTGTGTCTTTGTTTAATAGACAATTAAAAGTAACGCTTAGACATAAAACATGAATATATAACAAACCACTCATGTTAATTAATTACCCATCTAGTCATCTCATTTATTGACTGAGAAAGAAAACTTAAAGTGAACCACGCCAACAATATGGTTAAAATTTATTTAATGAAAATCCCTTGTAAACATAAAGTGTTCGTCAGCTTGTAAGCATTTATTATATCAGATAATAGGCACCTAGCTCTCAATGCATATAATGAGAAGTCGAAGCGAAATAATTCTAAGTTTCATAATCTTGGTAAATGGCTTTTACTTACCACTATCCAACTCTGCCTCTTGCGCCCCAGATAGGAGCCCAAAACATTCATCCATAGTTATAGCCATCTTTCACATACTGGTTATTTCAGACATAA